TTGTTGATGTGATGTGTTGTTTTGTTGATGTGATGTGTTGTTTTGTTGATGTGATGTGTTGTTTTGTTGATGTGATGTGTTGTTTTGTTGATGTGATGTGTTGTTTTGTTGATGTGATGTGTTGTTTTGTTGATGTGATGTGTTGTTTTGTTGATGTGATGTGTTGTTTTGTTGATGTGATGTGTTGTTTTGTTGATGTGATGTGTTGTTTTGTTGATGTGATGTGTTGTTTTGTTGATGTGATGTGTTGTTTTGTTGATGTGATGTGTTGTTTTGTTGATGTGATGTGTTGTTTTGTTGATGTGATGTGTTGTTTTGTTGATGTGATGTGTTGTTTTGTTGATGTGATGTGTTGTTTTGTTGATGTGATGTGTTGTTTTGTTGATGTGATGTGTTGTTTTGTTGATGTGATGTGTTGTTTTGTTGATGTGATGTGTTGTTTTGTTGATGTGATGTGTTGTTTTGTTGATGTGATGTGTTGTTTTGTTGATGTGATGTGTTGTTTTGTTGATGTGATGTGTTGTTTTGTTGATGTGATGTGTTGTTTTGTTGATGTGATGTGTTGTTTTGTTGATGTGATGTGTTGTTTTGTTGATGTGATGTGTTGTTTTGTTGATGTGATGTGTTGTTTTGTTGATGTGATGTGTTGTTTTGTTGAGGTGATGTGTTGTTTTGTTGAGGTGATGTGTTGTTTTGTTGAGGTGATGTGTTGTTTTGTTGATGTGATGTGTTAATTTGTTGATGTGATGTGTTTTTTTGTTGATGTGATGTGTTGTTTTGTTGATGTGATGTGTTGTTTTGTTGATGTGATGTGTAGTTTTGTTGATGTGATGTGTTGTTTTGTTGAGGTGATGTGTTGTTTTGTTGATGTGATGTCTTGTTTTGTTAATGTGATGTGTTGTTTTGTTGATGTGATGTGTAGTTTTGTTGATGTGATGTGTTGTTTTGTTGAGGTGATGTGTTGATTTGTTGATGTGATGTGTTTATTTTTTGAGGTGATGTGTTTATTTGTTGATGTGATGTATTGTTTTGTTGATGTGATGTGTAGTTTTGTTGATGTGATGTGTTGTTTTGTTGAGGTGATGTGTTGATTTGTTGATGTGATGTGTTGATTTGTTGAGGTAATGTGTTGTTTTGTTGATGTGATGTGTTGTTTTGTTGATGTGATGTGTTGTTTTGTTGATGTGATGTGTTGTTTTGTTGATGTGATGTGTTGTTTTGTTGATGTGATGTGTTGTTTTGTTGATGTGATGTGTTGTTTTGTTGATGTGATGTGTTGTTTTGTTGATGTGATGTGTTGTTTTGTTGATGTGATGTGTTGTTTTGTTGATGTGATGTGTTGTTTTGTTGATGTGATGTGTTGTTTTGTTGATGTGATGTGTTGTTTTGTTGATGTGATGTGTTGTTTTGTTGATGTGATGTGTTGTTTTGTTGATGTGATGTGTTGTTTTGTTGATGTGATGTGTTGTTTTGTTGATGTGATGTGTTGTTTTGTTGATGTGATGTGTTGTTTTGTTGATGTGATGTGTTGTTTTGTTGATGTGATGTGTTGTTTTGTTGATGTGATGTGTTGTTTTGTTGATGTGATGTGTTGTTTTGTTGATGTGATGTGTTGTTTTGTTGATGTGATGTGTTGTTTTGTTGATGTGATGTGTTGTTTTGTTGATGTGATGTGTTGTTTTGTTGATGTGATGTGTTGTTTTGTTGATGTGATGTGTTGTTTTGTTGATGTGATGTGTTGTTTTGTTGATGTGATGTGTTGTTTTGTTGATGTGATGTGTTGTTTTGTTGATGTGATGTGTTGTTTTGTTGATGTGATGTGTTGTTTTGTTGATGTGATGTGTTGTTTTGTTGATGTGATGTGTTGTTTTGTTGATGTGATGTGTTGTTTTGTTGATGTGATGTGTTGTTTTGTTGATGTGATGTGTTGTTTTGTTGATGTGATGTGTTGTTTTGTTGATGTGATGTGTTGTTTTGTTGATGTGATGTGTTGTTTTGTTGATGTGATGTGTTGTTTTGTTGATGTGATGTGTTGTTTTGTTGATGTGATGTGTTGTTTTGTTGATGTGATGTGTTGTTTTGTTGATGTGATGTGTTGTTTTGTTGATGTGATGTGTTGTTTTGTTGATGTGATGTGTTGTTTTGTTGATGTGATGTGTTGTTTTGTTGATGTGATGTGTTGTTTTGTTGATGTGATGTGTAGTTTTGTTGATGTGATGTGTTGTTTTGTTGAGGTGATGTGTTGATTTGTTGATGTGATGTGTTGATTTGTTGAGGTAATGTGTTGTTTTGTTGATGTGATGTGTTGTTTTGTTGAGGTGATGTGTTGATTTGTTGTTTTGTTGATGTGATGTGTTGTTTTGTTGATGTGATGTGTTGTTTTGTTGAGGTGATGTGTTGATTTGTTGTTTTTTTGATGTGATGTGTAGTTTTGTTGATGTGATGTGTTGTTTTGTTGAGGTGATGTGTTTATTTGTTGTTTTTTTGATGTGATGTGTAGTTTTGTTGATGTGATGTGTTGTTTTGTTGAGGTGATGTGTTGTTTTGTTGATGTGATGTGTTGTTTTGTTGATGTGATGTGTTGTTTTGTTGAGGTGATGTGTTTTTTGTTGATGTGATGTGTTGTTTTGTTGAGGTGATGTGTTGTTTTGTTGAGGTGATGTGTTGTTTTGTTGAGGTGATGTCTTGTTTTGTTGATGTGATGTGTTGTTTTGTTGAGGTGATGTGTTGTTTTGTTGAGGTGATGTGTTGTTTTGTTGATGTGATGTGTTGTTTTGTTGATGTGATGTGTAGTTTTGTTGATGTGATGTGTTGTTTTGTTGAGGTGATGTGTTGTTTTGTTGATGTAATGTCTTGTTTTGTTGATGTGATGTGTTGTTTTGTTGATGTGATGTGTAGTTTTGTTGATGTGATGTGTTGTTTTGTTGAGGTGATGTGTTGATTTGTTGATGTGATGTGTTGATTTGTTGAGGTAATGTGTTGTTTTGTTGATGTGATGTGTTGTTTTGTTGATGTGATGTGTTGTTTTGTTGAGGTGATGTGTTGTTTTGTTGAGGTGATGTGTTGTTTTGTTGATGTGATGTGTTGTTTTGTTGATGTGATGTGTTGTTTTGTTGATGTGATGTCTTGTTTTGTTGATGTTATGTGTTGTTTTGTTGATGTGATGTGTTGTTTTGTTGATGTGATGTCTTGTTTTGTTGATGTGATGTGTTGTTTTGTTGATGTGATGTGTAGTTTTGTTGATGTGATGTGTTGTTTTGTTTAGGTGATGTGTTGATTTGTTGATGTGATGTGTTGATTTGTTGAGGTAATGTGTTGTTTTGTTGATGTGATGTGTTGTTTTGTTGAGGTGATTTTTTGATTTGTTGTTTTGTTGATGTGATGTGTTGTTTTGTTGAGGTGATGTGTTGTTTTGTTGATGTGATGTGTTGTTTTGTTGATGTGATGTGTTGTTTTGTTGATGTGATGTGTTGTTTTGTCGAGGTGATGTGTTGTTTTGTTGATGTGATGTGTTGTTTTGTTGATGTAATGTGTTGTTTTGTTGATGTGATGTGTTGTTTTGTTGAGGTGATGTGTTGTTTTGTTGATGTGATGTGTTGTTTTGTTGAGGTGATGTGTTGTTTTGTTGATGTGATGTCTTGTTTTGTTGATGTGATGTGTTGTTTTGTTGATGTGATGTGTTGTTTTGTTGATATGATGTGTTGTTTTGTTGATGTGATGTGTTGTTTTGTTGAGGTGATGTGTTGATTTGTTGATGTGATGTGTTGTTTTGTTGAGGTGATGTGTTGTTTTGTTGATGTGATGTGTTGTTTTGTTGAGGTGATGTGTTGATTTGTTGATGTGATGTGTTGTTTTGTTGAGGTAATTTTTTGTTGAGGTGATGTGTTGATTTGTTGATGTGATGTGTTGTTTTGTTGATGTGATTTGTTGTTTTGTTGATGTGATGTGTTGTGTTGTTGAGGTGATGTGTTGTTTTGTTTATGTGATGTGTTGTGTTGTTGAGGTGATGTGTTGTTTTGTTGAGGTGATGTGTTGATTTGTTGATGTGATGTGTTGTTTTGTTGATGTGATGTGTTGTGTTGTTGAGGTGATGTGTTGTTTTGTTGATGTGATGTGTTGTTTTGTTGAGGTGATGTGATGTGTTGTTTTGTTGATGTGATGTGTTGTTTTGTTGAGGTGATGTGTTGTTTTGTTGATGTAATGTGTTGTTTTGTTGAGGTGATGTGTTGTTTTGTTGAGGTGATGTGTTGATTTGTTGATGTGATGTGTTGTTTTGTTGATGTGATGTGTTGTTTTGTTGATGTGATGTGTTGTGTTGTTGAGGTGATGTGTTGTTTTGTTGATGTGATGTGTTGTTTTGTTGAGGTAATGTGTTGTTTTGTTGAGGTGATGTGTTGATTTGTTGATGTGATGTGTTGTTTTGTTGATGTGATGTGTTGTGTTGTTGAGGTGATGTGTTGTTTTGTTGATGTGATGTGTTGTTTTTTTGAGGTGATGTGTGGTTTTGTTGAGGTAACTGTGTTGATTTTTTAGGACAAGATATAGAGAATGATAAGGATTGTCCAAGTCTCGTCCCAGGATAATGTTAGCAAATATTTTTCTTCTATGAACACACTTTAGTTCCTCAGCTTGACTTGAGATTAGATACTATCAGTAAACTAAGTTGCACAACAGAACTAGGAATATTACTCTTATCTACACGATCCTACGTTATTAATTATCTCATTTAAATATAAAGAAAACAATGCCTCAAAAACTCATTATAAAATATTGTAACATTCTCAGAAACATTAAAAAAAAATAAGATGAATAAATAATAGCGTTTCCTTAGAATTGTTGGAATCAATTTGAAAGATGTTGTGAGTTATATTGGAAATAAATTTAAATAAACGCCAAAAGTTCTTTTTTTTTAAAGTATCCATACACAGTATTTGAAAGGCAAAGCATTTGGAAAAGCAAACAACAGGAGATCAACATCAATTTTCATATATAATTTTATTCATTCATCTGTTGCCTTTACATCACTGATATCACCACACATTGACAAAATGCAAACATCTGGATTTTTTAAAAAAAACGAACTAATTTATTTTTATTTATTTTTTTTTTCTGCTTTAAACAAAATATTAAAACACGAACTAGGACCATTATGACTAGGTTAAGTACATCTTTTTAGGCTGTCGTCAGAAATTAAATATGAAATGTATGATTGCATTACTCTAGTGCTGATGAATGATTGCATGAATTTTTTTTTACGAATGTATTACTCTTGTACTGGTGAATGATTGTATGACATTTTTTTTACTAATGAATGGCTCTTCTACAGGAGAATGATTGTATGACCTCTTTTTCCTAATGTATGAGTCTATGGTTGTTTTATTGGTTTAAATAATGCATACTTCTTGAAATTGGTTATCTTGTGTGCCATTTTAGCCATATACATAAATTGAATTGGCCACTTTTCTGACATTAGACCTCGCCCATCACAGAGAATCAGGCACACAATTTGCGGCTTTCATTTAAAAAAATCAACGTGACATCTCAAGACTGTTACAGTTGATTAAAAATACAATAAGAGTTACTAAATACTGATATGAAAACTATAATGAGTCTTCAAAAACAAACACTATCACATTTTAACATTATTTGATGAGCCAGAAATGAAGCTCTCAAAACGCAATAATATATACATATATATATATATTTATTTATTTTTTTTTTTACTTTTCTCACAAGTCATTTTACATGTAAAACAAATAATTCAAAATGTCATCAAAATTATTTTGGCGATACTGTGTACCGTGGACTTGTTAAAGACATAGAAGCATGTTATATCTCATTCAACATTTTCTAAGGTCCACACATACTAAAGGTAAGTGTTGACTTATTAGGGTCATATATATTTATATATATATATATATTTATATATATATATGTAAAATATAATAAAATATGTACAATGTATGTAGCCATCGGGCTACCTCTAGAATGAGGCTAAGTTACACCACTGTTACTTGAAGACAATTTCTTTGTCGTGGGACTCTTTCCGGAAATGACCTTTTGAATGGCTTGTTTGAACTTTGCACTGGAGCTGGACTTCCGTTGTCTCCCGTCCTTCAGCGTTTTCGTTCGTTTCCAAATGGCGTGGAGGTCGTTAAAAATGTCACAGATCTGCAATAAATAGACGCAGCACTTTTAAGTCTTTGAACCGGATCCTGACGGAGGAAAGGGGGGAGGGGGGCTAGGGGGGGGGGGGGGGGCGGGTTAATGCGTTAGGGGGTGTCGGGAATAAGGGCCGTCTAAATTATGAATCAAAAAATATAAAAACCCTTTGCTTTTAAGTCTTTGAACCGGATCCTGACGGAGGAAAGGGGGGAGGGGGGCTAGGGGGGGGGGGGGGGGGTAGATTAATGCATTAGTGGTATTCAGAAATAACGGCCCTCTAAATTATGAATCAAATAATATAAAGACCCTTTGCTTCTTTTAATCGTGGCTACGACCCCAAAAACTGTGAGAACCTTTGTACCAGCATCTCCAACGGTGCGTTAATAATTGCAATCATGTAAACGGTATTAGAGTTGTTGACAAAAAAATAGAAAGTGGGTTGATCAATATGTACGAAAACCCCACTCACGGAACATGTAATTGTTTGAAAAATATGGCTGTTTATTTATTTAATATTATATTTCTAGTGAATTCATTTTGGTATCTCTCATATACATTTTGCGTCTGGTGTGTCCTGCTTCCTTTTCGAAACCGCCCATCCCTTCAACTCCTTTTTTTTTTACTGAGTGGAAAAAAGCCAATCGTGACTCGTGAACTCAGGTAAATGTTTGGGGAGATGACTATTATATTTTTCAATAAAGAGCCACGGGTATGGTGTAGGACTGTGTATAGGGCTGCCTGTAGGACTGACTGTTGGACTATTGTTTAGATGTCGGCAGATAAGCTGGAGATAATTTGTCTGTAGGACTAGTGTTTGAAGACCGGCAGGTAGGGTGTAGGACTGTCTGTAGGCCTATTGTTTGAAGACCGGCAGGTAGGGTGTAGGACTGTCTGTAGGCCTATTGTTTAACGGCCGGCGAGTGCGATGTAGGACTGACTGTAGGACTATTGTTTAAAGGTCGGAAGGTTGGGTGTAGGACTGACTAAAGGACTACTTCTCAAAATACCTGGACCCATTGTAAATGAAATTGCACCCGGTTAAGCCCTTGTTTCATTGATTGTGGGTAAGTAATACCTTAATGTAATGCCAGTGGGCTTTCTATCTCACCTGCGGTAACTGCAGCCAATCACAGACCGATACCTCGTAGAACCGACAGCCCACCTCATGCGCCAGTTGCTCCCCTTGAGCCATGGTGACCTGCCGTTCATACACCAGGTCATTCTTGTTGCCCACCACGACACAGCACATAGAGCTGGACCGCCTGGAGGATTCGAGGAGTCGCCTCAGACGATGGACTTCCTCAAAACTTGAATACTCTGTAATCGAATACACCAGGACGAAACAGTCGCCCCAGAGAGCGTAGCCTTCGTTCCAGCTTGTGGAGACCTGGGTGGATTCAATTAAAAGCGGCGCACAATTAAAGGACAATGGAGGGCTACGTTGTTACCAATATTTTTGGAACATTAAGCTAATCTTGACCTTTAATAAAAAAAATTAATAATCACGGAATTGCTTAGGTTTTTTTTTCTCAGAAACTTGATTGTGCTCATGCAAAGTGGAATTTAACTTATCGATGACAATAAATTCATCAATTCATTATGAAAATTTAAAAAAAGAGATTTATTTTAAGTTTTGATTGGGCTGTAAAGATACGTATTCTAACAACAAGCTGTATGTACGCTACACGGCACGTGTAGTGCTATTTTAGAATTTGTTTGCCGGGGTTTAATTCATTGCCTACTAGCGTTGATAAGGATTGGAGCGATATTTACCTGTCCTGCTGTGTCCAGAATGTCCAGTCGCACATCCTCGTCATCAGACTTGTCGGATATGTAGCGGTACACGCTCTCTGGACATGGGGATTGGCGTGCAGTTGTTGTATATAATATAAAGTATATTCAGTATATTCATGTTTTATTGTTACAAACGCTAGAAATATCTGGACAAATTATTCGATGATTAATTGTTAGGAAAAATAAGCAAGGGGCCTGTAGGAGATGCCATTAGTTTAGAATCCTGAGAAAGTCAGTGCTGAGAAGTCTTTAAAAAATGTCTCAAAGTTTTTGTTACGGAACAGCGGGTAATGGGTAGGTCATTTGAACCAGTTCCAGAATCTTGTTCTATCACTAATTCCTAAATTTAAATGTTTGCGAGGGTGCTATTAGTATATGTGTTGCAAAGACGCACACACTTTCCGATAGTACATGTGTTGTAAAGACTCACACACTTACCGAGGGTTGGGCAGTATTCACCGATGAAACGTTTGGTTAAGAACCTCACAGTCAGTGCTGCCAAGATAGACAAAAAACACTTGTCATGGAAATGCGTTTAAATCTGTAAGCAGAAGTGCCAATTCTTTGGTCAATTATGTGGTCAATTCTGTGATCAATTCTGTGGTCGATTCTGTGGTCAATTCTGTGGTCAATTCTGTAGTTAACTATGTGGTCAATTCTGTAGTTAACTATGTGGTCAATTCTGTTGTCGATTCTGTGTTCAATTTTGTGATCATTTCGATGGTCAATTCTGTGGTCAATTCTGTGGTCAACTACGTGGTCAATTTTGTTGTGAATTATGTGGTCCATTCCGTTGTAAATTCTGTGGTCGATTCTATGTTCAATTCCGTGGTCCACTATGTGTTCAATTATGTGGTCAACTATGGGTTCAATTCTGTTGTGAATTCTGTGGTAAATGCCGTGGTCAATTCTGCTGTAAATTATATGTTCCATTCCGTGGTCAATTATGTGGTAAATTATGTGGTCAACTATGGGTTCAATTCTGTTGTGAATTCTGTGGTCAATTCCGTGGTCAATTCTGAGGTCCATTCTGTGGTCAATTCTGTCAATCAGTTTCAGTCAAAAGTAACTTAGACCCTTTCGACGGAACCTAAATTTGTGTCTACCGACATTAAGCAATGAAATGTACTTATTCTTCTTTAAAAATGTTTTTAGAAATTTTCATTGTAAAAAGTAATAATCAGTATCATGATTTTTCCATGATTTTTGCGATTTCTTTTGTAAAGCTTGATGAGGTCAAACTTCTTACGTTCAAAATACATACCCGTTTTACCCACCCCGGGACTGCCAAGAACGACAATCCTGCAGACGTTGTCTTTGTTTTCACTGACTTGTGGAGGTCTCAAATGTCGAGTTCCATTCATCACACGAGAGTAGCTCCTCTTGTCTTAGTTCACCGTGGCCTACCGTCCCTGTCTTGCGATGTCGCCTGGTAGTATGAGTAATAGATGATATCAACGACTAAATCCCTTGGCAGATTTAATTCAGTTCATCACGATGTCGTCCACAGAATAATCAAGTCTGAATGCATAGAAGAGACCATTTCTGTCACTAGACTTTGCCCAAATCGCAAAATCTCAGCACAATTTGTTTCAATGTTTTCTCATTGAATATTGTATGTACACTTAAACCTTTTACAGTTGCTACAATGGCGGTATTAGGAGAATTATGTCTCTCACAAGACTGCGTTGATTTCACCTGGATCCAAACTTTTGGAAAATGTTCTTATGAAATTAGCGATTCAGTTGTTGTTGTTTTTTTTCCTGAGGTCTAAACGTATGGAACATAACGAATCTCACTTTATACAAACATTTAACAAGAAATTAATGGAATAGGAAATAATCGAACAGGGAGTTCACGGCTGATGCCCCCACATACACATACATTTGATCTGCGTCCATCTCCATTACAGGGTCACAGGTCAAATGTCACCGAATCACCATCATTTCGCTTTTTGTATGGGGGGGGGGCCGAATTTTTATGCAAAAAACCTCAACAAAACATTATGACAAACCTTTTGTGACGTAGTTGTGATTGAAAAACTTACTTTCACTTTGAACGGTCTTTTTTTTTCTTTTTTTTTAAATTTAATTTATTATTATTTTTTTTTTTTATTTTTTTTTATTTTTTAAAGAATCATTTTTAAAAGCTAATATAATTAAGGGGAGGACATCCCTGCTTCTAAACGCTGCATTAAAATCTCTATTTCACCATCAGTTTCAGCCCTTGTGATAGATACGTAGTCTTTTGTGACAGTTACTTAGTCGTTTGTGATAGATACTTAGTAGTTTGTGACAGACAGAGAAAAGATGGGAGGCCAACATCAACGAGTGGACGGGACAAAAACTAGGCGATGGCTGTGCGTAGTGCAGAAGACAGAGGCGAATGGAGGAGGATAGTTCACATGTCATCTTTGTCGCCCCAACGGTCCAAGGACTAAGGTACATGATGATGATGAAGATGATGACGTTTCGCTGTGTTTATTTAATGTCCCAGAGACATCCTAGAAATTAAGTATACAGCGAGTGCCAATGGTGAGATCAAGACTACATGCAAATACAGTTATTTCGTCCTAGCACTAAGGCTACACTGTTGTGCGTGTGTATGGACTAGAAAGATATCAAAATTTTAGTTCAATTTTCCTGAGAACACAATATAATTTTATCGTTCTTGGAAGTTACTAAATAAATTAAATTTCAGATTTCTTCCCGAGTCCTTTTTATTTTTTTTAAATCCATTTAATTTTTTTTTTTTTAATGAAAAAATTAAAATATTGCCAATATGAAATATGTAAATGGGGCAGACCTTGCTGGTATTTCCCTCACACCTGTATCACATTTACTCGCAACGCCGTGTAGAATGCTGATAAGAAATACGTAACTAGCCAACTTTCTTTCTCCCTTTTTCCCTTTTCCCCATCTCACCGTCTTATCATGCCGCACCATTCCCACATTGAACAGCCTGTCATTTTTCTCTTTTTTTCAAATCCAGGTTAAAGTAGGCTTTCAAAGATATATTAAGGACAACTTTATTGACCTCTTAAAAAGTATAATTATTAACTTCACATTGTGGCATAAACCGGGCTGGTTGATCTAGTAAAACAGGCCTGCACAACATACGGCCCGCAGACCACATGCGGCCCGCCAGCACCCACTTCGCGGCCCGTGAAGTAACAGAATATTCTTTATTCTTCTTATTTTCTTTACAGCTTTCCCCCCTTGTCCTATTTTTTCTCCTTTGGCCCGCACAAGATTTTCATCAAGTATTTCGGCCCCCCCTTACATTTTGAGTAGTGCAGGCCTGTAGTGAAACATTGATGTTACCGACCGTAGTTTTAAATGGTGTCAACTGATCAACGTGTTCTTAACAGAACCCATTCACAAAACAGAGCTTATTTCATTGAAAAACTCATAGTTTTGAAAGATCATTTATTGTTAAGACCTTAGATTACACAACACTACATCAAACTTACTTTTATAAAGACAAAGTATCTGTTACAAACTACTTAGTATGTGTCACAAACGACTAAGTATCTATCAACAACGACTTATTATCTATCACAAATGATTAGTTAACTATAAAAACCGACTAATTATCTATCACAAACGAATAGGTATCTGTCAACAACGATTTAGTATCTATCACAAACGACTAAGTATATATCACAAACGACTAAGTATATATCACAAACGAATAATTATATATCATCAATGCCTAGGTATCTATCACAAACGACTAAGTATCTATCACAAACGACTAAGTATATATCACCAATGACTAGGTATCTATCACAAACGACTAAATATCTATCAAAAACGACTAAGTATCTATCACAAATTACTAAGTATCTATCACCAATGACTACGTGTATCTACCACAGCTATAGACACATCTAATTATTGTCGTTCGATCCAGCCTCACTTAGTCCGAGCGATCTATCACCAATGAGTCACCATGGTGCGTAGCATCGCCCCAGTGTGCTTCGTGCACAATCGATCGGCTGGGTCAACGATAAATTATAATTGCTATTGTTTTTACGTACATCGGGCTTTAGCCATTGCGTATCCACCCCATCACGTGAAACACAACAGCTGCGATCAAGTGAGGTCAACTAGTTTTCGGTTGTCAAGGATCTCCATGTTATTATAGCAGGAGCCCAACGTTAAAATACGTGTGGACGTCGTCCTCCTCATCATCAGTGGCGCTACAGCCCACGCAGGGCGCTGGCCTGCTCCACCACATAAATAATGATGGTGCAAAATTTAGAAGTACCAAAGATGAAACGCAGGATACATTTTGAGAACCATCCCTGTTCACATTTGCCTCAAAGATCAAATCTTGTAAGAGAGAGGGGATGAGAGACGGTGATATAATGTTATGGGATAGATAATACTTGACCCCAGTTTACATTTGTTCCAGCGAAGCAAGAGTTTGAGAACCGTGTTTTACGATTACTTCCATTTACATAAAAGGCTGGTAGTTGTGTAAACCAATGTGGGGAACCTTGTCTTACGGCAGCACGCTAAATGACCTGGCGCTATCCGGCTATCCCACTACACTTGAAAGCTTGTCAGCTCAGTCTATGCTGACAACAATCTGACCAGAGATCAAAGTAAAAGTTGTATGACAAGAACACCAACATATGATCAGTGGCCGGCCTGACATAATCTGTATGTTTTAGATTACATCTTAGTTTTACCAACAACAAAAAAACGTGATCATTGGCGTAGGAACGGGGGGGGGGGAGGGGGCATATTATACAACCCTGTCCTTACACTACGGTCTAGCCTAGGTAAGGACACACTCAAAGTTATACAACCCTGTCCTTACACTACGGTCTAGCCTAGGTAGGGACACACTCAAAGTTATACAACCCTGTCCTTACACTACGGTCTAGCCTAGGAAGGGACACACTCAAAGTTATACAACCCTGTCCTTACACTATGGTCTAGCCTAGGTAGGGACACACTCAAAGTTATTCAACCCTGTCCTTACACTACGGTCTAGCCAGGGTAAGGACACACTCAAAGTTATACAACCCTGTCCTTACACTACGGTCTAGCCTAGGTAAGGACACACTCAAAGTTATACAACCCTGTCCTTACACTACGGTCTAGCCTAGGTACGGACACACTCAAAGTTATACAACCCTGTCCTTACACTACGGTCTAGCCTAGGTAGGGACACACTCAAAGTTATACAACCATGTCCTTACACTACGGTCTAGCCTAGGTACGGACACACTCAAAGTTATACAACCCTGTCCTTACACTAAGGTCTAGCCAGAGTAGGGACACATTCAAAAAATGAACATGATGAGTTTGTGGAAAGTCTTTCCATTGAGAAGCCGTTGTATGTGTTACGCCTCTACTTAGACGACCAAATTAACGCAAATGTCAACAACATCAAAAATACAGTTCTTACTTGGCTTTAATTCGTACTATCATTAGTATTATTTATATGCCACAGTAAAATGCTGGCAGTTAAAGATAATTGAACTTGGAAATTTGGTTTAAGTTTTAAAAGAAAAGGTTTTGGAAAAAAAAAAAGTAATCAGAATTGAATATAAGGTCAGGGCCACGCGCGGAGATGAGTCGGAAAAAGGGGAAAAAGGGGGGGGGAACTCCGCCTCGTTGAACCATTTTAAGAGGGCGCAAAAAAAAATCGCAAATTTCATGCAAAGGTACGTGTCAAATTTACTTTGTTAGAAGAAGGTGCCAAAATTCTGGATTTACCATGGGTGTAGCTTTTGCTTGCCACGCCCCTGATTTAAGATTAACATTATGTATTCTGTTGTTTTTTTTTCTCTTCTGTTTTTAAATGTGAGGTTCATAGTCGTGATCTCAGAAGACAGTTGCTTGGTTGCTTGGTTGCCTGGTTGCTTGGTTGCTTGGTTGCTTGGTTGTCTGGTTGCCTGGTTGCTTGGTTGCCTGGTTGCTTGGTTGCTTGGTCACAAAACCACCGTTTTGGCCTTACTAATATGCGCTCGTCGTCACTTTTGAAATTATTACGCTATTGGATTCATATAGCGTCTTTCTTAATTACAGATTTGAAAACTTTCGCTCAAAATCTATAAAAACTTTTTACTGTTCAGGAAGGATACAATAGTGTATTTTCTTTATTCTGAGATTCAGACAAACAACAGACAAATACTCGTTTCCCTACCAAAAAAAAAAAAAAAAACAACAACAACAACAAAATTTATGAAACATGTGAAACACAAATGATTGTTTAGATGTAAGCTTTGTGGTGATAGAATCGTATGTCCCCCATTTAAGATTGACAACTAAAAACTTTTTACTGTTCAGGAAGGATACAATAGTGTATTTTCTTTATTCTGAGATTCAGACAAACAACAGACAAATACTCGTTTCCCTACCAAAAAAAAAAAAAAAACAACAACAACAACAAAATTTATGAAACATGTGAAACACAAATGATTGTTTAGATGTAAGCTTTGTGGTGATAGAATCGTATGTCCCCCATTTAAGATTGACAACAACAATTAATATATCTGAACATGACACAACGGGATGTCTGTGACGTACAAGAAAGAAACTCAGAGTTTGCCGGTCAAATATCGCACTCCGCGACACGGACATGCTCTACCCCTGGCTATAACCAAGCCCATCAGTTAAAACTGTCCAACAACTGGTTTTCGAATATGTGTTCTCATTCTGTCCAACAACTGCTGCCCTTGTCCAACTAATGCTAATCAAATAAGTGTTCTAATTTTGTCCAATTAGTGTGCTGTTCAATGTATGTGTTCTCTCATTCTGTCCAACAACTACTGCCCCAATATCTGTTCTTATTCTATCCAAAAAACTGCTGTCTAAATATATATTCTCATTTTGTCCAACACTGCTGTTCGACCGTCTTTTCCCTTGTTTCAACATACTATCACTGATATGTCCGATGACAATCTT